TGCCTGGTCTAGGCCATGAGATCTGGGAACCCTAGCAGAGAGATCATGCAAGTGGAGAAGGCTCTTCCTTGCAGGTTTTTGTCCTCCAGCTTGAGGAACAAATGGACCCAGTGTGTCCACACACACACACACACACACACACACACTCCCTCACATGATTTTAATTGCATGTGGAGGCATTAGCATTCCCAAATGCAGTGAGAGGCACCGATAAACTGAAGTTATCAGAAAGTAAAGAAATAGAAACAAAAAACATGGTTGGTTGGTTTGCGGCATGCCAACTGGTCTCTCGATACCTTTGCAAAAATATCCAGTAACAAACTGATTGGATACATTGTGTTTGTCAGATATTTTCATTATGAATTTGAGCAAGAGGGAGGGAAAGTAGAAGCTTGTGGATTCCAAGGGAAATTTCTTTTTGTTCCCCCTTGTGTCTCAGCTTTATCTCACTTCAGTAAGAAGGGGAAAGGGGAACAACAACTTTACTCTTTAAAGATTGCTGGTGCATGACATGATTGAGAAATACTTTCAGCCTGAAAACGGTTTCACTTCCTGTATGTTACCACAAAGAGCCTACTTAATAAAAGTCATACTGGTGCTGTTTGCCTTTTCTCTGTCCCGGCTGCCTATGTAAAGTTTACTGAAAACCTGTATGAGTTCTGACCTTAGCACTGAGACACAGCATTTCTTATTTCCCCACAGGAGTGTGGTACTTTCCACTAACTTTCGCAACTGTTAAATAAGGCAGAATTCAGAGACATATAGCCATGTTAGTCTGGAATGTCAGTATGTAAAGGGATCTTTTAGCACCTTTGAGACTAGCTATGCAAAAGAAGTTGTAGCATAAAATTTCTTAGACTTGGTTGCATCTGAGGAAGTAGATACCAAAGCTTATGCTACAACTTCTTTTGCATAGTTAGTCTCAAAGGTGCTACGAGATCCCTTAGCGTACAATTATTAAATAAGTTGTCCTTGATGTAAAATATAAATTTCTGTTTATTCAGTGGACAGCAGAACTGGGGATGAGTTGGTGTTATACACAGTTAGGATTCAGAACTGGTGGGTCACCAATTGTACAGGGCTTAAATGCGGCAATGATGATTGCATAGCCATTGTATGAGTTTTATGGTCATCATCATGAATTTTCTTCTATACCATGCCTCACACAAATGAGCAATCTAATAATGCTGTTCCGGACCAATGGTTATTCTAGGATAGCTGCTTACATACTGTCAGGTAGTAGGAAATAAATAATGAAAAAGAGGACAAACAAGGACATATATTTGCATATAATTTGCAAATAAGTTAGATGCACATTTAGAAACAACAGTGTGTGCAAGCCATCAAGTCCCCTGATGACATATGGTGATCCTATAATGTAATAAGCTTTCTTTAGGCAAGAAATACTCAGAGTTGGTTTTGCCAGTTCCTTTCTCTGAAATATAGCTTACAGCACCTGGTATTCATTAGTGGTCTTCCATCCAAGTACTGACCAGGGCTGACCCAGCTTAGCATCTAAGGTCAGACAGGATCTGGTGCCTTTAAGGTATTTAGGCCCTAGAAATAATTACTATAATTTAAATAAAATTGTGGTCCATGTTGCCATAGTGGAGAGAAGGCCATGTCCATATGACCTGTCTGCCTACTGTTTAGTTTGCAGTCCAGTCCTAATTTCTGGCAAACAACTACAAAGCTCCTGCTCTCTAAGTTTCTTGTGGTTCTCTGTCTTTAAATTGGACTCGGACTGAACACTTCAAACAGACAACGAGGGGTTGCAGACTGCCAGAAATAGTGCAAACTGAGTCCACTTTTAGGGTTAGTGTTAGTGTTAGGGAATCATGGGAACTGTATTTTATTGTGGCCCCAGAGCTCTCTGACAGAGAAGGCTCAATGTCTCAGAAAAAAAACAATTCCCATGATTCCCTAGCACTAACCCTAAACCTAAAAGTGGACTCATTTTGCACTATTTCTGGCATTCTGCAACCCCCCAACATCTTCAAATAGAGGTTCATCTTCTATACATGTAAAACACATGGCCGCCCTAGATCAGTCACTAAAAAGGGACTGGGAGGCCTATTGATCCTTTTTCTTTATATGACAGATCTCAGGATGAAGCTAGGAGTGTCAGTGGGAGAGGTGAATGGGAGAGAACTTGGGGACTGAACCTGAGGTGCACCAAGTACTGCTGAGCGCAGGGTCCTATCCCTTTCTTGTGTCCTGTCCAAGGTTCATGACTGCCCTCTGGGAGTGACCAGCCAATTTTAACAGTTCAGAAACGCTATCCTAATGTCAGCTCACTCACTCATCTACAAGACCTTTCTAGTGTTACCTTACCTTTTTCTATTCTTCCCAACATCTCCCTAGATTAAACCTATTCCCAAATCTGGAAACAGTTCACACACACAAAGACACACACACAAAGACACAAAACAGAGCTGAACGTGGGAGATCTCACAGTGTCTCCACTAATTTCTCCACCATAACAAATGCTGGAGAAGCCCTGTAGTTCAGACACTTGTTTGGATTTTCTTTTTGTGCTCCACCTTCTTAAAGGGCTCATGAGAGAATCACAGTGACTTTGCTTGATTTAATTAGCCTCACTTAACACCTTTCAGAGCACATCCAGTTCTCAGCTGGTAATACAAGTCTTCATGGTGTTATTGCATTTATAATATATCAACATGGGGTCATGTTCCGAGCATAATTCCTCCCTTGAGTTTAAAGCATCTCTACGTCATTTTCCTCTGGAATGGTGCTACCATTAGGCAGAGTGAAGCAGCTGCCTCAAGTGGCAGATGCTGGATGGAGCAGCAGTGATGAATTGGAGAACAACATTGTGGGTGCTACATAGGATGCCTTTCACCCTCTTGCTGTCCCACTGTTGCCCCACTGCTACTGTTGAACTAACATTTAACTATTTCTCTGGTCAACTTCTGTGTGTGGAATGAGGGTGTGTCTGCCTGTAAGTGTGGTGTAGTGGTTTGAGCATTCGACTAAGACTTTAGAGACCAGGGTTCGATTCCCAGCTCAGCCATGAAACCCACTGGGTGACTTTAGGCAAGTCACAAGCTCTCAGCCTCAGAAAAAGGCAATGGCAAACCTCAATCTTGCCAAGAAAATCCCATGATAGGTTCACCTTAGGGTCACCAGGAGTGGAAATGACTTGAACGTGCACAACAACAACTCAGATAGACACTTGTCCTTTTTAAAGGGAACTGATCTCCACATTATGCAGAAAGAAGTGGCAGACCTGTGTGACAGAATCAGAAGCTGTACCCCTCCAGTCTGCAGGTGAGAAGAGGGAGGTACTAGCAAAGAGATGCTATGCTAACACCTTCATTTATATACTAGCTTACTACATGCAGGCAATTTCTCACATGGGGAAGGCATTAAAACACCTTCCTTTTTGGAGTCCAAAGTGATAATCTTAATTCTAGCCCTTCATTCTTTTTCTTTGTACACTTTCTCTCTCTTTCCTAAAACTGAAACTTGTTTATCTCCTCCCCTTTCACCCTGGATGTTACTTCTGCATATCTCATCATCTCATATTTATCATTTTGACTTAAATATTCTTACAATGTAATGCCTAAAAATAAAAGCACTTTTTAAAGGCTCAACTCAAGAGTAATAAAATGAAACATATTTGTGGAAAGATGCATATAGCTCCCCCTCCCCCTCCCTCAAGAGATAAACAAAAGTGGCTAAATACTACTTGTCAAGAGACACACACAAATGCACACAAATTCCTTGGTGTTGTTTCTGTTTAATTCTAGATTTCACAAAGGATGGATCTGTGGAGGTGGAATAGTCAAAGGATAAAGATAATTTTTTATGGAATACAATGCATATCATTTTCAACCACATTGCTATTGTGTTATCCCAGTGCTTCTTTGGTGAGTCAAGTCCAGTGTGTTCTGCTGGTATTTCTTGCATAGTTTACGCAGGTGTGCGTCCTGTTTACGCACACCGTTCCTACTTTTCTGATTGTTAAAAAGACAAACTAGTAGTTTTCAGGGTTTGTTTTATTTAAAGGAGGAGGATGTTTGTACTGTGAACCAAAGACCAATCTGGAGCCAAGACAGGTTGGTGTTAGGGAATCGGAGCCAAAAGACCAATTCAAGAATCACAGCTATGGAATAAAACCAGCAGTCAGAGCTGAAGAGCTAGGGCTGGACCTATTATTAGGCAGACCAATGTTTCCCTCTTAGGCAGAAGATTTGGGGTATTGGGGAGACAAATTGATAATTATTTACCTTGCTATTGTTGTATTTTACTGATAATAATGAGGAGTGACACATGTGGGAATCAAAATAAATTAGTTTGTTTTGGTACTCTGATTTGGACAAAGTGGAGGCATTTGGAACAAAATTTCTTTGGTTGGGTCGGAAGAGAAGGCACAATAACACACCTGAGTCAGGAAGAGTAAGCAAAGCCTCAATCCAGTTAGAAAATCTTTTATCATCTTTCCTATGACTATCTAAGAAAGCCAAATGGTCATCATGGATTGACAGAGCCGTTTCTGAGATCACGTTTCTGCTCAAGGAGATGCCCCAAACCAAGGACTTTGCCACAGAAGAAAAGAAAGGTAAAATTGATTGGGAAAGTAGTGGCTTTCTCCATGCCACTCCACATGCCCTCGTAGCACTTGCATTCTCTTCCTGAGGGGAGACAGTAGTCAAAGCATGCCTTTTGCCAAACAGGAAAAAAGCCTGCTCCCAATGGGGGCAAGGCTGATTTTTCTTAAGACACATGATTCTGACTAAACTCTGTTCCTTTTCCAGCATGTTCCCACATAATGGAAGCAAGCTAGCTTATATTGATGTTCCTCAACATGATCCTTATGTTGATAGCACTCAACACAGCAGTTTTGCTAATATCATACATTGTTTGAATTATTACGGGGGAAGTCTCTAACCTTTCATCAATAACCCATAGTAGCCTGCTCAAAACAAATCATTTAAGTTTTGTATCAGTCTTCCACAATTCCTTGACGGATCTCTTCTGGCAGGCCTTTCCAGAATAAACTGGCTGGTCTCCCTCCCGTTAGATATACCCTCCACTTTCTCACTGTGTCCTGGAGAGTTAATGTTTAATGTTTTAATGTTCTATTTTATGTTGTGTTTTTAACTGACATGTCTATTTAATATATTTTTAATGGGGGGCTATTCTTATTGTAACTTCATTTATTGTTTATCTTGGGGTAGTTTTATTCAATTCATTTTAGTTGTAACCCACCTTGATCGCTCTGCAAAAGACGGGGAATTATTATTATTATTATTATTCCAGGTAGTTCTCAGTCATGATGAGATATGAATTGCCATGTGGTGTTTCAGGGGGAATCCCCCTTGCAAAAAGAAAAGAAAAAAATATAGCCATCCTTACCTTTTACAATTTTTACTTTTATAGCAGTTTGAGAATCAATTCTCCCCTTGCTGGAATGCCTGGAATGACTGTGACAAATGAAAATGCCCCTTTCCATTTTGTCCAACAGGGTAAGCGTGACCTCGCCAAACGTTGTTTAAAATAAACAACTTCTTGACATGTTGACAGATGGTTAGCTTAGAATTATCATTTCTCACAAAATTTAGTAACCCATGTGCAGCTGGGGGGGACTGGTCCCAACTATGAGACCCTTTCCCAGTGCTTTATATCCAACAAAAATGTTAAAACTGATAGTGACCTGTATTTGAAAGCTGCAGTGGCAGTGTATCTACTCTGTAGTTTATCCCAGACTTTAAAGGAGCTCTTCCAAGTTGATGAATCTATCTTAGGGGATAGGGTTCAGCACTGCAGACCACTCCTTTAAAGTCTGGGACAAAATCTTAAGGTTTATCCCACTGTGCCCAGCAGGCGATTATCAGAACTGGCACAGCCCACAACTGTGGACATCAAAGGGAGTAGATGTCATTTCTGTGCCCAATGCAATGACATGAAATTGCAGCAATTATGAATTACAATTGACCTGTAACTATAATTGTGTCAGCATCATAGTCTGAAATGAGGTGACTGTGCCTAGGCTGCTCACATAACATGGACTATAATTGTAAGATCTGTGAGTGTTAAAAAAATAGAGTTCTAAGAAACCTCCATTCCTCAAAAGCTATCTAGCTCATCCCCCTTGCCAATTTATTGTTACAGCCCTTGGAAAAGTTTTCTTTAATACATTTCTGAGAAAGGCCATATTAGTGGGGGATTTGGGGAGTTATAGCCCCAAAAAGCCAGTGTTCCATGTTCTGGTTGTTACTGCTAACAACTCATGATTACTGTTATATTACCATACTCTTATACCTGGCATAAAATGTTTTTGTTTTTTCACTTAATAAGCTGTGGATCAGTGAGACTGAAACTACCATCTCTGTAGCATACTCTTGACACTGATGATGCATATGCAACCATAACCTTTTCCTGGGAAAGTTGAGGTCTTAATAAAGGCATCATGTTTTTACTTGCAAATGGTATCATGCGTGATAACTTTCTTAATGGGTTTTTATTTGTATGGCTTTCTTTGGTACATTTGGCCTGATAAAGGGTTCTATCACACAGCAAAATTGTAAGAATATAATTTCATTTAAGTGTTATGGCAACAATTTAAGGGGACGCTGGGATTTGTAGTTCAGACAAGAGTACTTAGAATTCTCAGTCAGACAGTTCATCTGGTTCTGCCCCAGATTACAAAACCCAGGATTCAATCAGATATTGCCATGGTAGTTAAATTGGAATCCTAATACTATAACTGTGTAATGTGAAGGGATCCTCAACTAACACTTTTATGTATGGAAACTTGCTGATACCCACAAGGTCCACCACTTGATTCCTCAAAGTTTTAGCTAACTCGTGTTGTCCCAGTAGGACTGTAAAATCAGGTGCTTGAGGAGCTTACACAAAAAGTGAGGTACCCAGGCTCTTCTGAACTCTGTTCTGCATTGCAGTTCAAGCACTAGTGATGCTATTTTGGCATACATCCACCAGCTGATGCAATAGTTACTGAGATCTTATTAAGGAAACTACAGATGGTAGTAGTAGTAGTAGTAGTAGTAGTAGTAGTTCATTTACTTATATCCTGCCTTTCTCCCAACAGAGGGACTCAAGGTAGCAAACAGCAAGTTTAAAACAATACAGTTTAAAAACAGTACAAAAGCATTAAAATATATAGTTTTTAAAAATTAAAGAATTTAAAAAGTTAAAACAATTATGCATTAAAATTTAAAATGCATTTAAAACTCTATACAAACTTTATTACACAGTATTATAGCCCAACTCTTGTCCGATCTAAGTCAAGGCTGTATGTCCCATCATAATCAATATTAAGCTTTTTTTTAACTGAATTATCTGAATATTAAGCTTTTTTCTGAATTTGAAAGTGGGAGCTAGCATGTTGTAGTGGTTTCAGTGCTGGACTACAACTTTGTAGCTCAGGGTTTGGTCCCTGGCTCAAACATAAAAACCCACTGGGTGATCATAGGAAAGTCACCATCTCTCATCTCAGAGGATGGCAATGGCAAACCCCATCTGAAGAAACTTGCCAAGAAAACCCTATGCTAGGTTCGCCTTGGAATCACTATAAGTGAAAAATGACTTGGAGTCACACAACAACAAACTATATACACCTCTCTCTCTCTCTCTCTTTCTCTCTGGTCTGTTCACATCTAGCTTTATAACAGATTAATGCATCAGCCTCTGGCTCCTTGCCAAGTCTTCCTTACAGCTTCAGTATCTTTGGGTCTCTTTTCCTCCCTCGCTCTTCATCCTTCTTTAAACCATAGACTGATCACAGTTATCATACGATTACCCCATTATTTGAAGCTGTCACTGTGCTGTGGCCACAATAACATTTTCAGCTTGTGTGAATGCAGCAGCTGTCACCAGGAGAAAACCTCAGAGACAGTGGAGATATTTTTGTTAGCTTACTGTGTGCTTTGGCCACACATTTGTCACCCTATGCTCATTGCACAGAGAGTGCTTAATTTGTAAGGAGAAAAATTGCAAGTGTTCACACTTACATGAAACTCACTCTCCTCTTTTCCTCCATATCAA